ATGTGACACCGTTATTTTGTTGGTTATCATGAGATTGATTTCCTGGAATGAACGGAACACTTCCTTTACTATCCTTTATGCCTTCATCTCTATTTTATGCAGACTCAGTCTGGTGTTTGTGACATTGGCCCTCCCTTTTTTTGAACCTTGTTATGCAATTTCCCCACTTTGGACTTCCATCTGGTTCATCTTATCTGTCGTGGATCAAAACCAAGAATGGATGTTGCTCCTTCTGTTCCTGCCAAAAGAAAATTTGTCTGAACAAACTTGTTTGGTTGAACGATTGTTGCCCTTGACTACACCATCCTATGTGCCCATCTTGGCGATGCAATGCAAGCTTCTCTTTACTTTGGGATGGAACTGGAGTCTTCTGTTTGCTTGCTGTTTGGCCATTTCTGTCGTGGACTAGCAGTAGTGCTTATATACATGGATTTTCAATTTCACAAGTTTGGGTTGAAGTTGTCATCCTGGTTCAGATTATTCAGGCTGTTGCATTGATATGCAGTGTTTGAAGTGGAAGATCTTTAGGATTGGACTGTAGCAATAAAAACTCAAGTGGAAGCTTCCGTGCTTGCTTGAAATCGTTACAACTGGGTTTCTTGACCTTGAGTGAACTTGAATGGTTAGTTCCATTTGTGTCATCTGTACAGGTTGGTGTTTGGTCAACTTGAATGCAAGCTAGGATGGGATTGCTTCTGTTTGTGTAACTCTGTATTATATTAGTATGTTCATTCATCTTGTTATATGGTGGTTGAGTGGTTAGGTTACTTCACAGGATTGGTTATCTTGCGTTTGGTTAGGTTGGAACCCAACTGCCTGCCTTGCAAAGTGTTCCAGGCAACATAGGCGATAACAATAGTATATTAATCTCTAATGTACCATGTACATGTTGCATTATCCGCACTTATTGGAGCTGAGAAATGGGGATGCTAAAACGAAGAATCTCAGTCTATCAAACTATTAGCCAATGATTATAAACCATACTTATCACTTGGATTGCTGGTTATCAATTAATATCTGGAAATTGGGAGGAAACTTGGTACTTCTAGTGGATTTGAGCTGCACCTGTGTTTCCCTATCAGTGGTCGTGAAGCTTTACTGTGGTCAGATTTTTGTGATCTGTTGGATATATCAACTGTACCAAAGATTGCACGAGTGTACGCTGGCTGTTTTTTAGCTGTGCACTTACTGAAATTTCTATGGTGTTGCCCTTCCCATAGGCATGTTTTGAACTTGAGTGTGTTCATGGAATGATTTTTATTGGAGCTGGTTCTTGTGGCAAATAGTATCTTCTATTCTGGCCAAGTTAGCTAAATTACCTGGAGGACTGTTAGTTTTATTGGACAAACTGGAAGCATGTAACGTTTTACTATTGGCACACGTTGAATGTTCGCAGTCATAAAACTAATAATCTACTAGATGCAATACTCCAGATACCTCCACATATATTTGAACTAGGTTTACTTCTAATTTATTGTTCCAGCAAAGTTATAGCCTGCAAAAGAATCCCTTGAATGTCTCACTGGTTTTGTCATATAGTCTTCCTTGCTTCTTTGTTGCTTTGCACAATTAACTTGTGAACAGGTATCATAAGCTATGCCCTGTTTATATGCTAAAAGAATAGCTACTTTGTTTGGCACACAAACCGGTTACGTGATTTGTTTTTTTTTCCATGTCTGAGAACATGATTTTTTTTTGGTTGGGTATTATTTGTGTTTCCTGGTTTGTTGATTGTTTTGTTTTGTTTGCTTGTTTGTGGTTTAACACTGCCTTTGCCGGTCCCAAGCCCGGATGCGAAAATGTGGAGGGAACTGCAGGTTGCTCAGTTGCATAATTAGCATTAGGCTACTGGGAATAAAAGTGGTTTGGTCAAACAGCTAGACGCTGAAAGCTCAAAGAGGAGCATAACCTAACCATCGTTCGGCACCTGTATACTGGTGTCGCATTCTGAGTCTCCTTCAGTTCCACTTCATACCATTGCAATCTGCTGGCTAACTGTTCAGTAGCTGCCGCTGGTTCTGTTCATTTCAGGTTTAGTGTTCAGACTTGCAGATGAGGGAGCAGGACAACAGGCAACTAGCAAAATTGAACCAGTTGTTAGGACGGTCATGTCTCCTGCCGTGGCTGGTAATACTGGTTGTTTTGGAGATTGCTCTCCTACTGGTGCTGAACAAGTTCTTTTTTCTCTTATAAGAGAAGTGCTGGACAAGTTTCTCTCATTACCCACTGACTGAACGCATCAAAATGGACTTGTCCGAAGTGCCCGGACACTCGAGTCACATCCTAGTCATTGTCCCTGTCAGGCGCGCATCAAGCTACCTGAACCCGTTTCATTTCATCTATTGAGAGGTGGGAAGTGTAGTTTGAACCACAGGTACCGGTTCACCGACTTCACATGAAGCGTTGATCTTCGATCCAGCGGATACCTTTAATCTTCAGCAGTGTTAGTGCCTAAGCTCGCCTTAATATTGTTTATCTTCTGATTAAGAATAGCGTTGTCAAACTAGGTTAAAACTGTAAGCTAAGCCATGTAAAAGGGACTTCGACCCAGGCCTGAGGCCTTATCGTGGAGATAAACTAGCTTAGCTACCCATTTCCTTCCCTGGGAGATATCTGTACTGACAGACTCGATGGATTCAGTGAAGTAGCTACTACTTGGTACTAATTTCTCCTTCCGTTCTTGTTTCCGTGTTGATTTCTGTTCCCCACTCGTGCTGCTGCTCGTATCTCCTTTTTGGAGTAGACGAGTAGTTTTCTTTAAACGGAAAAGGCTTTCCAGACAGTGCGTATTTCGTTTTGAGAAAAAACTGAATGCACGACTTACACCACCTGTGGGCCTGTTTGGAATGGAGGATTTCCAAAGAAAAAGCAAAGGAATGAATTTTATAGGAAAGTTTTCTCAACTTGATATTTGGAACAAGGAAAACCTGCATTCCTTTCCAAAGGAAAGACTAACCTTGCTTTACAAAACATAAGAAAAAAAACATCTATAGAAACCTAAAGGGAAAATTCCTACAATGTTTTCTTCAAGTTCTCAAGCAAACCTTGCTTCTTTGGCGCGTATGACATTTTTGTTTTCCTACAATCCAAACACCCTCAGAGTTTCTATTCCTGTGTTTTCAAATGTTGTAGTTTTCTATTTTTTGCTCTATTCTATTCCTGTATTTTTTTCATTCCTTTGTTTTGCATTTCTGCGTTCCAAACCGGCCCAAAAGTTTTTAGCTAAGTTTGTCAAACCTATGCACAAATCACAAAACTGTCAAATAGATAGACGAAGTAGCAGAGAGCAGACACTGAACTTGACGAGCTCTGCATTGGCCACCGCGGGCCACGGCACAGCCGCAGAGGACGAGCGGCCGCCTGGGCGCATGGGACAGGGATGCGTCGGCATCCTGAACCGCGAGGGAGGCTCCGTCGGCGGCAAGGGGTTCGCTGCTCGCAGCGCCGGCCGCGCTGCCAACCATGGTGCTGCAACTGCACTTGTAACGTGTGTTCAGACTGAACGTGTAAGAAGAACCTTTAGCTATCACGTACGTATCTTTGAAGACTTCGATATATAATAACTCCGGTCACTAACTTGCATACGAACGTGTGTTCAGACTTAAGGAACGTGAACTTTAGCTTATCAGCCAAAAAAAAAACCATCAGCCGAACGTGCGTGAGGAGAAAGAGCGCGGAACACGTGGGTGTACAAGAGGACTAAGAACAGGGTGGATGGTCGGGCATACCGTGATTCTGGGCACATTGGATGCGACCCTGAATGCAACGTGCCCAGTTCGTGATTTTAAGTTTTTAAACCGAGGTATTAAACAGCACCTGCATGCTGAAGTTTTATTGCAAAAGCGAATAGACCAAAGATCAAATTCTCCTTGTTATCTCCATAACGCTTCTTTATTATATATTACTGTGGTTTAATAATGCAGCAACCTTACCAACGACCAACCCTTTGCTGCTTGATGAAATTATTTATAAATAATGATGATCTTTCAAAAAATAAATAATAAAATGATGTGAATAGTCAACTAGGCAACCACCGTCTGTTCGTTGGTTGGTTTCTGGACTAGTTTGGACTGACTGGTGCTGGTATATTGTGAGAGAAAAATACTGTTGGCTGACTGGTTTGGGTTGGCTGAAACCAACAAGCGAACATCTTATCTTAAGGGGAAAAAAAAATCCAACTGAAAGACAAAACGAGGCCAAGTGGCAGGCCACCGCAAGTAAAAAGATTCGATCATTGCGAGCGAACAAAAACCTTCCTCCAGCACTGGCAAGAACTGAGGATCATCCGTCGCCTCTCCCTCCGTCTCCTCCACCCCCACCACTCATCCAATCACGTCGGCGTCCATCTCCTCCTCCACAACTCCCTTTCCAGGATTCTCCTCTCCTCCAATCGCCTCTAAAACGCAAAGCACTGGATCGGACGTCGTCACCAAAAAGATCGGCGGTGAGACGAGAAAGAAAGGAGCCGAGAGAAAAGCGAAAAGGGGAGAGGAGAGAAAAGGGAAGGTAGAAACTAGAAAGTTAGCTTCTCCCCGCTAGAGGTAGCTAGCGCGGCGGTGAGGGAGCGAGAGGAAAGACCTGTCGCCTGCCCTACCGTCGATTCCATATCGTCTCCCCCGAGGTTCTGATGCCGGAATCCTGCTTTTCCGGCTAGTTTACCGATACCGTCTGGGTGGTGGTTTCCAGTCCTCACTCTTCCAACCTCTACCATCTTGTGAATTTGCTTTTCACCCAATTCGGGCAGCTCACCATCTCTTGCAGGAGTTTGCTTGCTGTCCTTTCTCGAGTGCACCCGGGTTCTACTGTTCAGTTGCCCTGCACCTGCTTGTCCCCAGCCAGCAATTGCTGCTCAGAAATTCAGTTCTTGTTGAAGCTTCAAGGAGCATCCTTTGAACAAGTTCTTGATTTCTTCCTCTTCCTCTTTCTTTTCGGGCATCTTTCTTGTGCAACTTGTCCATTGACCACAGGAGAAATTTGTTCTCGGCACATTCTCTGCCACAATGGACGATGGAGCTGACCTCCCCTACCAATTGCTCTTCTCCCACCCGGAGATGCCTGACAGCTTCGACGAGTTCTTCAACAGCGCCACGACGACCTGCACCCACACGCACAACTGCAACCCTCCCGGCCCCTCGGTCGCCATGCACACCCACACGTGCCTGCACACGCACACCCAGGTCCTCGGCAGCGGCGGGGAGGACGACGACGCCAGGGAGGAGGACTCGACGAAGCCGCGGAAACCTCTGGGGAACAGGGAAGCCGTGCGTAAGTACCGGGAGAAGAAGAAGGCGCACGCCGCCTGCTTGGAAGAGGAGGTCAAGAAGCTCCGGGCGGCCAACCAGCAGCTCCTGAGGCGGCTGCAGGGCCATGCAGCTCTGGAGGCAGAGGTGGTGAGGCTCAGGAGCCTCCTGCTCGATGTCCGGGGCAAGATCGACGCCGAGGTCGGCGTGTTCCCGTTCAGAAGCCGTGCAGTGTGGGCTCTGTGGCGTGTGCTGATCCAGCTCTTTGCTTCAATGGCAACTCGGAGGTAGGAGGCGGCTGGGAGGAGAGCTCAAGACCAGCAATTGCGGATTGCAGGATCGATGAAGGGAGAGGGATGTCACGGGAAATTGATGTTCAAGAAGCTTTGCATCATTCCATGGATGTTGTTGCAAGCTTCGTGAGTTCTGATCCTCTGGCTGAATGAGCAAGTTTGCCTGATTGGCAGTTTTGGGGCCTCTACCAGCTTCTTTGGGCTTGCTTGAAAGATCAATTTTTGATGGATTAAAAGGAGGAACTGATAATGAGTAGAACTATCTTCGCTGTGGTTTATGCTTCTTGTGCTGGTGTTCAGTGTGTATATAGGGTACAGAATACTTACATATGACTATATGAGCATTGAAGAAATCGAAAATGCAAAATTATACTGCAGGTATGTCAATGAAGTGCACTTGACTTCTGATTTGGAGTTTGTTTGTACTTAGCTGAAATTATATTAAACTATTAATATAAATGCACTGAATACGGTTACATCTGAAAACTCATTTCTGTGAGCACAAGAATTTTTATTTTCTGCAATTATTAGACAACAGCTACAAAATTGTCAAATTCTCTGTTCATTCTGCAGAACATTGAGGACATTTTTTGCCCAGGTTTTTCTGAAATACCACGGACCTAATCATTTGGCAAGGTTGTGGTGTGCATACTGTGTTGAGCTTTCAGGGCTGTCTGAACCAACTTGAATTTAGTAGTTCACCAGCTGTCAGGATTCTGCTGCAAAGAGAAAGATATTGTCTCCTCAAGTCAAGGTTTATTGTCATTCTGCACTGGTCTGCTCTGAAAGAACTTCTGTTGCTAGTTTAGAATGGTTTTGCCCGGCTACTACTACAACACTTCACTGATACTTACTGCAGTTCAGCTACATGCCTGCTTTCAGACTGTTATGGAGTTATCTGACTGCTACATGACAGCTATAAGTCTTGTCCTTATCTACCTAGGATAATTATCTAGAGTAGTTGGTGGCTGTGTCAGCCCTTATCTTTATCCCTAGCATCTACTTTAGCATTTCTAGAATATGTTGTAACTTTCTTAAGGCTCAAGCAAGATATCCGATATGTATCCCCAATCTGTCATAGTTGTGGTATGGCTAATAAATCTGAAATTCAGCTCCAAACCTGTATTTTGGTTCTAACAAATGGTATCAGAGCCTAAATTTATCTGGGTTCTACCCTTACCCCATCCCAATCCGTCGTCATGTCTCTCCACTCCTCATCCTTTTCCTCCAACCGTTCCACCACCTCCAAGATATCGTCTTTGCAGCGCAGCAGCGAGCGCGCGGAGGAGGCGGCGTCGAGGCGTGTAGCAAAGCTCGCGGGCGCCTCGCAAGCTTCTTGCGACGAAGTAGCTGGCTTGGCTACAGGCCACCGAAGCAGCCGCAGCAGCGGCGGGCTGGCTGCTTCTTCAACAAGAACTGCCGCGCTCCGTCTTGAGCGTCTGTGGCGAGCGGCAGAGGACTACGGCGCCCGGGCGAGCGCGTCGGATGCAGGAGCAGCAGCGACTGCGACTGCTGCCATGGAGCGAGCGCCAAGCGGGCTGGCCCGGCGCGGCGCGGCCTTATGCGCGACGATGATGGATGTGTCTGGCGACCACGACGGCTTCGACAACCAACACGGACGCGACGCGGGCCGCTTCGACGGACGACGCCGCGACTTCGATCGGGACGAGCGGGCGGCACGCGACGCCAACGCCTGGCTGGAGTGGGAGGAGCGGCGCGAGGCACGGGACCTAGGCGAACGGGACGTTGTGTAACACCCTCGGTGTTAAGCATGCACTTAACCTTGACCTTGCATGATCACAATCATCATTGAGCATTCATGATCATAAGCATATCATGTATTCCATCATGGTTGGCTTATATTGTATATGATGTTACTTAATTACCTTACTTAAGTTAGGGTTTACATGGAACCAATGTATGAAATGTGTGGGTGACCTTGTGAATGCTTTAAACATGTTTAGAATAGCATAAGAAACCACTTTGGTATTCATGACTAAGTCTTGTTTAGTCTTTAAGTCATGGATATGGTGTATGACATTATTTTAAAGTGCCATGTTTGACCTAGTTTGAATGATGTCATAGAGTCTTTGCATGGCAGTGAACCTTTAAGCAAAGTTGTAGTATTTGAGTAGGGAAACAACTTTTATGTTTGGGTCTTGAGCTAATTCTGTGCATAGCTTAGTCATTTTGTGCTCACAAAAATCAACAATTCACTGGTTTTCAGCACTTAGAATTTTTCTAAGTCCTTCTCGGTTTTCCAGTTTCGCAGGCTTGACTTTGGCATGATATTACTCGGTATTGGTTGGGAATTAGGACTCGATCCTTTAATAGAAGTTGAAGATGGTATATAGGTCCACGACTTTGATTTAGATTGTTTTCGATTTTGCTTCACGGTTTAGGAGAACGAACGTCGTCAAATCGTGTCGTCAGGCTAGGATCGCGGGTCTGATGGTCGTAACGGCTCGGTCTTCAGTGGCCGATCGCGACAGAGCTCGGCTGCCGCGTGGAGGCCACACGTCGCCGACGTCCTGCCGAGCCAGGCCACGTTGGGCTGCCGCGCGCCTCAACACGCCCCGCACTCGCCCGCTCCCTCCCGCGCTCTCATTCGGTTTTCTGTCTTCTCCTTCATCGCCCGCAGCAATCACAGTGCAGCGCCGCAGCTCCGCCGGCGCCATTGGCAGCACCAAGCTCGCCCACGTCATGCAATCGCCACCGTACCAGCTTCACCGTACCCCTACCGCACCACCGCAACCGCCTTGCTCCCTTGCCGCGCTTGGTAAGGCTACAGCGCCGTGCACAGACCTCGCCGGTGTCCGCCGTCGAGCTCCGTCGCCGTGGCCGCATCGTCTCCGTCCACCATTCGCCGAAATAGTGGGTGCTCTAGCTTCGTAGACACGTGTAGATGCACGGCGTAGCCCTAGCTTGCGCTTCCATGGCTGGCTCCGACGTATCGCTGTCTTGCCGCCATGGCCGCCGCCGTCGTCTTGATCTCCGACAATAGGTCCAGCCAAGTCACTCCATAGGTTCGGGAGGTCTAGGAAGTCATGGTTTTGCCGATGTAGTCGCCGTAAAAGTCATCGTCGATGAGCTCCGCCGTTCCAGCGTCGATTCCGCGCCGTTGCTCTGTTCCGTTTCATTGACATGTGGGCCCAACTGGCTGGAGGGTCCCGCCTGTCAGTGTCTGTTGAATAGAAAGCTAGTTCATTTTTACAGATTTGAATGCCTACTTTGAAAAATGATAAGTGGAGTTTGGTAGATCTAAATTGGGTGGTTCTAATTTTGTTAGGATCTTGGTGAAGTTTAGTATTTAGGAAAAATATAATATGAGCACCTGTAGTAGAGTTTATGGAAGAATTAAATTGAAACTTGAAATGTGTTTTTAGATGCATGTAAACGTGTTTAAATTATATCTAGAGTTTCTGTGCTCCAAAAATTATGAAATTTTGTGGGTAAGCTATTCTTGCTTAGTAGAAGGTCTGGTAAAAATATGAGAGTCATTGCATGTATGGTTTTTGAGTTATAGATTTTCCTTTCATCATTGATTGATACTTGTGTGAATTTTTGTAAATTATCTAGGAATCCTATGACCATGAAATTTTGTGGGGAGTATATCAGTACCTTAAGGATGTTAGGAAAAATATGAAATCTGTTGCTTGACACTTCTAACTAAGGTTTCCTATTTATGCCTTTTTAAGCATTTATGCCTTGTCATTTTTGTATATGCTATTTTACTTATCCAAATGCCATGAAAATTTTATGGTAGTCTACTTAGAGTAGTACTATACTACTGTAATTTTCTCAGATTTTTATGAGCACCAGAAATATATGTTGCTGTTGTAGCCCTAGTTTAAAATAAAATCAAATAATCTTCTTTAATGCATGGTTAGTTAATAATGTTTGTCTTAGTGTATCTTTGAAGCATCTTAGCTTGCTGTGGTGACTTGACATGTTAGTACAGTGGTTGTAGTAGTAGAATAGTAGTACATGTTCTTGGATGATGTTGGCTACCTTGTAGAAGAGCTTTACTTTTACCATGCCCAATAAAGTTAAACATGCTCATCTATATTTCATGCATCATGATCATTACATGTCATCTCTCCGATGCACCTATGCATTAGCACTTATACATCTGCATCATACAGGATCGCAGGAGGAGTTGCTAGTAGTAGTGCAGGAAGAGCAGACGGGATAGATCCACAAGAAGTCCAGGCACAGGAGGTGCCAGAGGAAGAGGAGCCGGGAGAGGATTTGCCCGAGTGCGTGGATCATCATCCTAGTTCGTTCGAACGAGGCAAGCCCCGGAGCATTCTAAGTCTTCTACTTTATAAAAGCAATTCTTTCTATATATATGAGTTTATATATTGTTGCACTAAGTTGTAGGAGTTGATTGAAACCGTTGATGCATTTATTACTATCCTTGTCTACCTTATTACCTTTTACCCTATTAGGTCAGGATCGAATAACTGCTTAGCCTTGCTTAAACCGGTAGCGATCAGTGATATCCGGTCACCTACATTATAGGTGATTACTGGAAGAATTTAGCTATGGAAAGAATGATATCCTGGAATTAACCATGTGTGATGGATAATTGGAGACCGGACGGAAAAGTTGGAGGCAACCAGACAGGGTTCTGGGGTGCTGTTAGTTTCCGTCTGTGTCGATTAAGGACCGATCGTTGCTCGTCCCTCTTGTCATGTTGAACACATGCCTCACATTTAGTTGGCCGAATAAAGTACCTTTCGACCGCGAAGCTAGTGGCACTATTTGGGCCGGGATCTACATGAGTGCGTGTATTGGTGCTGATGGGGGTATGACAGGGACGCGAAGAGTGAGCCCAAGGGCAGGTGCGCCCTGATTCCTGGCAGTCGGGCAGTCCCTGGGTACTGCGGCTCCAGATTGTCCCATGGCTACCTGAATAGTGTCCTTGGTGATCTAAGCTACCCTGGCAGGGGAAGCATGGTTTGTGTGAGGAATAAATCACCAGCTGGTTAGGAATCGATTCAATCGCCATCGCTCTGGATAGTGAGCACTTGACTCGAAACTACGACATCGTAGTAATTATTATGGAACAATGATGGTTATCTGGATGGTATGGGATATGCTAAATCTAAATTGGTAATGGATGTTATTGGTTAATCAAGTGATTGCTATAGTACGGTGCTTACCTAGATGAATAGGTCCTAATAAAGATGATGCAAAGTATTTAAAATGATGTCTTCCTCGATAACTTATGCTTTTCAAAATAAGTCAACTAGCCCACTAAAGAAAGCCTTGCATAATCCTTGGTGTCGCTTTATTTTGGTTTAAGACGGGTAAGTCTAGTTGAGTACTTTCTAAATACTCGTAGGCGTTGTTCCCATTGTTGTTGCGAGATGGTCAAATGTACTACGACTATTGCATTAATCGCTGTGCCCGTGATGGGTGACAACTAGGACCAAGGGCAATGGTCACTCCGTATCTCTCATCGATGCTTTTGTTGGAAATAACTACCTACTGGCATTGTATCTGAACTAAAAGTGTGTGTGTGGCTTTAAAACTATTTGCTTCCGCTATTTCAGTTTGAACTTGGATTGTAATAACTTTATGTTCTAAACTCTGATGTATCCACTGTCATTGCGAACTTTATGTAACATGTGACGGTGACTGCTAAACTTGTACGATCTTGGTTTGTATGTTGATTGGTTT